AGCTTCTCCGAGGCCGCGGCTGACCTGGATCCCCGCGGGCGCACCTGGGACCAGGGGGAGGAGCTGCCTTCGGCTCTGAAAGCAAAACGAAAGAAAACTGGAGGCTGGGGGTGAGGGGTGGAGCAGGAGTCGGGGGGATGTGAAGGGAATGTGACGGGGTCGCTCGGGTGGGGCCTCGTGGGGCCTGGGCTCAGATGTCGCCTAAGCGGGTTCTCAAGACTAGACAGGTCTGGTCTGGGGGCCTGGCTGGGCCTGGGGAGCCCAGGGGGCCTGGGCCTGCCTCAGGTGACCCCAGCGAGGATGGGGTGGGGGGACAGGCTGAGGGTTGATCCTCCTGCCCAGGGGTGGCCAGGAGCCAGGTGTCCACACCTGTGTCCCCTTTGGATTTGGGGTGAAGTCTCACACCTGGTCCCATCATTTCACACCATTTCCTGACGTCAGAGACCAGAGCCAGACCGGGGCCAAGCCTAGCGCATGCGGGACTCAGCCGGGCCCTGCGACTGGAGCCCTCGGGCCTCAGCGGGGAGGTGGGACCTGGTGCTGATCCGTCCCGGCCCCCAGCCTTCGGGGGGGCGTCCATGCAGACGGTCGGTGGGAGCCTGGGGGTCCAATAAGAGCACAGGGAGGAGAGGACTCACGGGGAACAGCAGCCACCACCCCCTTGGCTATGCTTTCGGGGCTGGTGCCGCCCAGAGCCAGCAAGTGCTGAATTTGGACGTAACCGGAGGGACTCGAGGCTCGTAATTCAAACTTGACACAGAGTTTGCGTCACGGGAAACAAACGCAGCCCATCGGACACGAAATACCCTCCATGCTGGGTGTGTCTGCGCCTCATCCCTGGAGTCGGGACGCGCTTCTGACTTGAAGACCTGGGAGGGGACGTCAGAGTCTCGTCGCTGTTTTGCATCAGGAGACCCGTGAGCGGGGAGCGCTCGCTCCTTCCAGCTGCGCGGGCTTCTAGAAGCAACGCTCTGGGCCTCGGTGGGCTTTTTGCTGCCGGGTGTCATTATTCTAGGCCCTCTCAGCGGGCGGAAGAAATAGACCTGTTCATCCCGCTACCTGCCGTCCGCGTGGTCCCCCCGTCCTTCACCCACCCACCTGTCCCTCCATCCAGCCCCCCGTCCACCGTCCGTCCATCCGTCCACCTGTCCCTCCATCCGTCTACCCGCCCACCATCCGCTCACCCTTCCATCCATTCCCACCGCCACCTCCGGCCCCAACCACAGGGATCCTCCCCGCGCAGCCCGCCTCTAGCGGTGGGAACCGGATCCCACTTAACCTGCGACGCAGGTGCCGGCTCCGCCCAGACCACGGCTGCAGAACGCGCCCTGCTCTCCCGAGAGGGCCGTGGCTGGGCTCGGCTGCGCTCGCGGGCTCGCCCGTTCAGGGCCTGCGCGTGTGGAGTCCGAGGAGGAGCCCAAGGCTCGTTCCAGCCGCGGCCCTGAGCCCAGCTGGGTCCGCGTCGCTCCTCCGCGGGCGTCGGGACGTATGGGCCAAACAGTAAGTAGCAGCGGACTGGGGGAGGCGCCCCTCCCGCCCCCAAGTTCCTCTGTTCTCACCCCCTCGCTCCTCCTGCAACACCTCCACGTCCTGCCCTGGCTCCCCATCCGTGAACACACGCACTTTCTTTCTTCCACAGAAGGCAGCAGCCCCGGGCATTTCCGCACTCTGCTCTCCCCTCGGGGACGCGCCCTGGGCCCCGCCACGCCAGGCGCCCCGGCTCCTTACTGCGATGCGTAGCCCCCCTTCTCGGGAGGCCCCCTCCCTCCCCCCCTCGAGCGTCTGTTCCGACTTACAGGAGGGCAGCGGCTGCAGGAGGCAACCAAGCAGCTCCTACTGGGGGGGGGGGTCACTGGGGTGGGACACGCCGCAGCCGCGCTCCCCGTGGGTCTGCTGGGCCTGCGCCCCACACCACGTCGGCCCAGGGGGGCAGCCTCTGGCCCGGCGGTGTCCTTCCTCCACGCCGCCGACGTACTCCCAAGGCGCGTCTCCACGACCAGCGAGGGGAGCGTCTCGTCACGGGTTTGAGCTGCGTTAGCAATTTTCTGCTCATCTTAAAAAATCACTTTTCCCACGGCTTTTTGTTTTATTTATCCCCTCGGTTTTAGTACCTTGTCTACGCCGCGCTCCCTACGCTCTATTTTCTCAGTTGGCACCATCCAGACTTTTAATTTGCTTATTTTGCCAGGCAATTCTTTTTTTAATCTAAGCAAATACACGACTTTTCTCCAGCGATCAGGACCCTGAGCCGCACAGCAGCTGCTCTTGCCCAGGCTCGCGTCGCTCCTCCACGACCCCGAGTGCTGTCCCGGCCTCCCTCTGCCCTCACGCCCTGACCCCTGGGCTCCTGCCGTGGCGCCGTGTCCTCCCGAGCGGCCGGGCAGCGCTCCCAGCACCGCCCCTGGAGTCCAGCTCGGCGCAGTGGCGGCGCCTTCAGGGTGCAGGGCCTGAGTCTTCCCGGTCTCCCCTCAGTGGCCGTGTCGCCAGCACGGGCCGCAATGGCCGCGGGGGCTTCACATTCCCCTCTCAGGCCGGGTAGGGCCTGCCCGGGCCAGCGGCAGGTTCCAGGAGCTCACTGGTGCAGCGTCCACTCCCCTAGGCCGGCCCCGCGGCTGAAGGCCCAGACGCCCGGGTCTGACCCACAGCAGGTTGTGCCCACAGCGAAGAGCACGCAGGGCAGTGGGGGTGCAGGCTGGGGCCCATCCACCCCAACACAAGTGATGGCCGCCTGTCTCGGGGAAGCGCACTGCAGCCCCGGGGTCCTCAAGATGAAGAGGGAGGCAGGAGAGACCCCGAGAGCAGGGTGGGAAGCAGTCAGTCCCTGCTGCTGGCTGAGGCTGAATGAGGCCCCCCGGGGGAGACTGCGGGTGCTCCAGAAAGGATGACTGGCAGCTGAGGCCTGAGGAGACCCCGCGGCTGAGCCACGGACCCCCAGTGAACGCCGTGCAGCGGCTCAGCCATGAGTATTGGGGTGACTGACTTATTCACAGAAAATTCTCGTTGAGTTTGCTTCAAAGTGCTTGGGCCCAGGAGGACCTCCCGCCTCCACCTCCCGCAGCTCCTCACAAGGCCGTTCCTCTCCGCAGGTCACGTCACTGCTGCGCGCCCCACATTCGGGACTTGGCTGCTGCTCCGAGCAGGTGCTGAGCTCACTGCTGATGCCACATTTCATGCTGTGGGCAGTTCAGGCCAAAGCCCGGACTCGGTGTCCATCACACAAACGTGTTTCTTCTTTAGACGAGCAAGGTTCCCGCTGAGGCCCCGCCCCAGACCTGGTCAGGCCTGCCCGCTGGCCAGGGGTCAGGGGTGTGGAGGACAAGCAGGCTCAGGTGCAGTCAGCTTGCACGTCCGGCACGTGCCCGCTCCCCACGGTGCGTGCTCCTGCTCAGGCGTCCCCCCCCGGGCCTGGGAAGGCTATCACCATGCAGGTACACGAAAACGATTTTGAAAACAGAAAACGCTACTTTAAGGTACTGGGGAAACCTGTGGGTCACCTACCCCGGCAGAAAAGGGGAAGTGGGGGTGAAGTGAGGAGGAAGCCCAAGGCCACGCTGTAGAGCTGGTCACGACAGGCAACCACAGCCGGGTCTTGCCGGTGTCCCTTTCCAGAACCAGGTCGCCGTCTCCGCAGAGCAGGCCGTGCTGAGACCCTCCCGCGCAGGCTTGTGTGGCAGCGTTGGCAGCAGCAGCAGTGGCGGGGAGACCCGCCCCTGGAGTGGGGCAGCAGCACCATTGCTCTGGGTGAGGGTGCGCTGGAAGCCCGGATTCCCGGGACCCCCATCTCAGCAGCCACGGGGGTGGAGGGAGCAGGAGGCCGGAGCATTCCTCGGTCGCATTTTAAGCTCATTTTCTCACCCTGGTGCCCAGCTTCCTTATTTCGTCAGAGGCTGCAAAGGAATGGTTTTCAAATCCCCTGTACCTTCACTAAGTGGGGCTCCCCCCCACACAACTATCCGTCACCGGCTGCTGGACTGTCCTGCAGGTTCGACTGTTTTCACCATCTTGAAAAGTGACAAGTACGGGCAGGTGGGACTGGCCTGCCTTTCAGTGCGAGGGCCAGGTCGAGCACATGTGTGACCTGGGGCTTAAAAACTGAAACGCACACGTTCATGCTCATTCGGAAGCTTCGATCACCTTGGGAGGAACCTCGCTCGCCGGAGGTCCTCGCACTGGGCCTCGCGCACCGGGCCTTGCGCTGGAAAATGACCGTCTGGCCTGGGCCGGCAACTCTGCAAACGCACCCTGACGTGCTGAGCTGGACGTGACTCGTAGGCCGCCCCCTGGCACAACGGCTGGCATCAGGCTATGCGTACGCTTAGCCTTCTCCACCAGACACAGCTACGGAAGTCTGGAAGTCTGCAGGCAAGCAAAGCCCAGGAGGCTTCTGGGTCAGACCTGAGATTGCTGGCGGCTAACACCCGTGACTCGCTCCTTCCCACAGCGCCTGTAACAAGTGAGGCTGCAGATGCCAATGAGCCTGAAGCTGCGCCAGCAGCCTGGGGCTGCCGTCCGGGCACACGGCCCATCGGCGGAGCGGTCAGCGGGCTGTGCTGCCCCGGAGGAGTGTTTTCTTTGTAGCTCTCTGTCCACCTCTTCCCCCGCAGGGAGCCGTTTTTGTTAGTTTGTGGTTTATCCTTAAGGGGCTTCTTTTTGAAATGATGAGTATGGCGCCTGCACATCTGCATCCAACGCAGCAGGAGCCCCTGCGCTTGCTGCTGCTCTCCAGAGCCCACTCCGGTCCAGCCGGGATGGTCCTCGCCCTCCACGGCAGCCGCCGCCCAGCCAGGCCGCGCGTGAGCTCTGGGCTGACCCCACCTGCTTATGAGCCAGGCCGGGGGCACACTTCGCGTCAGCCTGCAGGTCCAAGCAGGTGGCACCCCTCTAGCGGCCGATCCTCTGACTCCCCGAATTTCCATTTCCTCCAGCGTGAAACACGGCTTTTTAGCAACGTGACTCAGCTCCTGGGGGTGAATCCAGTGTCAGCCATTTAAAAGCCATTCCATAAATGTTAAAAAAACTGAAGTAGTCGGTGCAACATTTTTAAAATGAGAAAATGTATTTGAAATGCGTGAAAACAAGAATCACGGAATTGCCGCTAATTGGGCTGCTGGAAGTTTGTATTTTGAGAGAGAAAGTAACAAATTAGAATGTGTCCATAGAAGACCAATGAAATTTCCAGAAACTATCTTAGACGAAACAGTTGAAGAATTCAATTAAATATTTATTGACTAAAAGCAGAACTGAAGTGGGGTGCCTCCTCCAAAGACACAGTGACAACTTCAGACAGGCAGGGCGGGCCCCAGGGAGCCGCGGCCAGCATCCCTCCCAGAGGTGGGGCCTGAACCCCGGCGTGGTGAGTGGCTGCGGGTAGGGCGCAGAGCCCGTCGCCTCTTCTGTGAGCCAGCACTGCAGCCGACACCTCACAGCGCACCCCGGGAGTTGTGCCCCACACCCGCCCCGCCCAGCAGCGGACCCATCCTGCCACCACGGCAAGCCCGAGGGTGCCCCTGGCTTCGGGGGATGCTGCCGCCCCTCTGCGGCACCTCAGCGCTCTGCAGGCTGCGTCTCCAGGGGCGTCGGGCCCCAGCGGCTCAGACACTGGCCCTCGGCCCGGGGTCACGATGACACTCAGGCCGGCGCAGCAGAAATGGGGGGCCCGCGGCTCTGCGTGCGGGGGGCTGGGCCTCGTGAGTCCCTGGGAGATGGGAACTAAGTGGAGCTACTGACGGCTCCGTCTCAACTGCCAAATATCACGCGCGAGAATCGTCTCAACTCTTCAGCATCACGTCTTGAGGACAAACAATATAGCAATACCTTACGTTACACACGCACTTTATCACATACTCAGTGAGGAAGGCTGAGGGGCTTAGTCCGTCCAATAAACTGGAAATGGAAGTTTGACATTTCTTTATCGGTCAGTACAAGGATGCCGAAGGTGGACTCGCCCTCCGGACGCCGGCTCAGTTTTCCAGGAAGGCCACGTAGTCGGTCAGTCTGGCTAACTGCTGCTCGTTGGGGATCGGCGGAACCGGGGCTGGCTCTGTGGGGTGCAGGGAGGAACACCGAGTTAGCACTGTGGGGGCGGCGCACGATGTCCCTCACAGTCGGGGGACTGCCTGCCTTGCATCTGCCAGTTTGGGACAATTTTGCAAAGCAAACTAAGTCGCCTAACTTTATCAAAGTTTAGTTTTCTGCCGTTACTGACGTTTTCCACTCAAAAGCTAAGACCTGACTCTAGACATTTCCTTGAAGAGAGCACAGCTCTTCTTGAAAAAGTGCCGACCCACGTGACAATTAATGCAAAGGTTGAGCACGGAGCGTGCGCCAGTGCGGGTGTGGGTTCAGGCAAACGTTCAACAGCAAACAAAGAACCCTGGCCTCAGGGATCTGAGCTCTGGATTTGAGCGGGCACGAAACCCCGGGGATGCCTGGGAGCACGTGCTGGCGAGCCACAGGGTGGGCCAGGGGCACCACTGCCTCAGGGGCTCCCAGGGCAGCCCCAACTCAACTTCACTCTTGTGAGCAGACAGAATGCTATACATACCCAGTCCAAGACTTAACCTCTCCGCGTACAATGCTCCAGCTATGGAAAACACTCCAAGAAAGAAATTAAGAAAACTAACCAGTTTAAAAAGAACAGATGAAGCCACGTACCTGAGAGGGGGATAAACCTGTTGAAGGACACGTCCAGGGCCCCTGCGACCAAACAGACACACAGTCCAGTTGGCGGAAGCTGAGGCCGGGGCGCGGGCATCCCGGGTAGCGCGTGTCAGAGGCGGCAGCCGCGCTGCTCTATTAAGCGGGCCAGTGCCCGGACAGCAGGAAACCCGCCCAGGGCCCGGCACGCTGGGGTCTGTGGAAGGCCTGAGTGCGTGCTCAGCCGCATCTCCACCACACGTCCAGAGCAGGCAGAAGACCCACTGCAGCCGCTCAGAGGTGCGTGGCTGTGAGCGCGAAGCCCGGCGCTGAACGCCTGGCAGGAAAGGCAGCGCTGGGCCGACGGCAGGGAGACGCTCCCGCGCGGCTGAGTCTGCCTCATTTCGGGGATTAAGGCTCAGGGAGGGGGTTCGGACCAAGACAAAGAGGACAGGTCATGTGACTAAGGCCTTAAAAGGAGAAGTTAAAGTCCTGAAGCTCCTGCTCAGGAGGGGCGCGATGCCCACGGCACCCCGAGGGCGACCCCCCCTCAGAGATGAGCTGTAATGAGGGGACGGAACGCTCACTGGGGAAAGCATTTTTAGGAATGAAAGTGAAAGTGGGTGATCCTTAGGATTCTTTCACTCCTAGGTGCCCGCCATTCCCGGTGTCTGAAACGTGAGCTGCTGTCAGCACAGCAGAGTTTTTTATCAAATGATTCACATTCAGCCCCTGCCCAGCAGCAGCGGTTGGGGAGGTGCAGGCGCGCGCGTGGGCGGGGAGCCCTACCTGGCTTCCTGGGCATCACCATCCTGGTGGTGGAGTCCGCCTGCCATCCTTGTTCTAAAATACCTGGAAAGGAGATTTACCACACACGTGAACAACCATCCAGCCCCTGCACTCTGGCGAGACCCCTCCCCCGCGATGGCCTTCCCTGCCGGACACCCGCGTGGTCCTCTGGAGAGGAGGCTGTGCCCAGGCCTCGGCATACTTCTGTTTGAAATATTTTTAAAACACAGCGGAGTCTCCTTTACCCCACCAGGCTGGCATGAACCCTAAGATGGTCAGTTTTATACCAGGTTACACTGACCTCCTCGCTGTCACTAAAGCAGGTGTAAGGACTGTGCGTGCCCCACCGGGCTGTCCTGCAGTGCAGCGGCAGCTGCTCACATGGGCTGCGCGAGGGGCTTGTAGCCACTCCACGTCCTCTCACATCTCCGGGGGGCAGAGGGCAGGCGTGGGCGGATGTAAGCAATGCATGCAGCAAGTTCAGGGGCCTTGTCCTCATCACAAGGCTGCATGGGGAGGGGCTGGGCCCCCGGACTCACAGCCTGGCAGCACGGTAAGAAGACTAAAGGCTCCCAGACATATGATTTATTTAATCATAAATGATGGGTCAATTTTAAGAATCAAAACAAATAAATGGCTCTTCGAGTAAGCAACGGCATGACGCCTCCAGAGTCTCCTTAACCTGCCGTCTGTCTCCAGAACTGCGCCTGCAGCCTTGGAGACGTGGGTGTGAGACCCAGTGCCAGGAGCTGCTGTGCAGCCACCTCGCAGGGGCCGCGCGCTCAGGCGAGGCAGCCCTGCCGACCACAGGTGTGCGCGCCGGGGGGCTGGGGAGACACGGTGAGGAAGACGAAGAGCTTTCTGGGGGCCGAGGCTGCCTTCACCAAGGAATGGTGAAATAAGGAGCTCCGAAGGGGAGCAGTGAGGTCAATGAACAATTACTTATTTGCAACCCAAGCAACCAAGAACAATTTACCAACAGGTTGATTTTCAGAGGCAAGTAAATAATTTAAGGGAGAGCTAAGGCTCAGCTAGAGCTGGGAATGCGCCGCCACCGTCCCGCACAGCCCCCAAGTCTGGCGCCTCACACGTCCTCCTGCCTGTGGGAGCCACACGGCCTTCGGGGCTCCGAGGTGGGAATTAATCAAATACATTCTGAGGTTCCCTGCCCTGCTCTTGTCCTCCAATAACGCCCGGTCTCCCCTCCTTCCTCTCCCCTCCCATGAGCAGCCCACAGCTGCGCCAGCGCCCCTTCCTAGGGTTCAGCCCGGAGGGCTCCATGTAACCGGGCCCCGGGCTGAAGTGAAGAGCACAGAGGCCCACGTGGAGCCATGTCAAGCAACGAAAGAGGCCCCCGCAGAGAGCTGGAAGGGTGACATGCTACAAGCATCCCCCAGAGACATCTTCAGATTTTAATTTCATAAAAATGGAAAAGCACGCCCCTGCCAAGCTCCTGTCCTGGCACACCCAAACTGGTGCTTACTGTTGGCAAAACATACTTTAAATTACGAGTCCAACATCCTTATCCAAGAAGTTCTAAAGCCCTCGAAATCACTTCTTTCTTGAACTCACCTGGGAGCAGAAACTGAAGTGATTCTGCACCCCAGCTGTGCACCCCCCACTCTCGTGCTGGCCACCCTGGGCCCCGCTGGGGGCTGTGCAGGGCGAGCATCGCACCGTCTTTCCAAAGAACAGGCACAAGCTAAATTCCCCAGATGACTCTGCTCTGAGGATTTCAGGGGCGTTTGCAGAGCTGTGGTTTACATTTCCACCTTCTGTTTTCCTTGAAAGCAAAAAGCAAGCTCCAGTACCTTTCACGGCCTCTTCCACAGGAAGCCCCACGAAGGCGGCAAAGTCGTCGGCGATGATGGAGGTGTAGGCCTGGGAGACCAGGGCGAAGGCGCGTCTCCGTGTGGCGTCTGTGGAGGGCGTGAGATTGCCGATGGCGAGCCAGGAGCCAGCATTTGGAACACGGAAGTGAACTGCATTATTGCTCCCACCCACATTTTATAAGCAAGACCAGATCAAGTCAAAGCGGCGTGTGGCCGCGTGGAAGCGGTGCATGCACTGATGAGTTACCACACGCCTCATGCGCCTCCTTTTACATGGAAAGTCTTGCTCGGGGAAGCAAAAACATCGTAAAGATGGAAGAAAATTAAACTACCTAAGACTCCACCCCTAAGAGAATTTGACTACAGTATTATTTATGCGTTTGGCGTTTCTCCTTTGCACCTTCAGAGCCTTCAGTTCACGCGGGAATGCCAGTGCCCTACTGCAGCGCCAGCGCCCTACTTGGGCACGGTCACACCTGGGACTGGCGGAGCAACCCGGCCCCGGCGCCCCACCCTAACCTCCAAGTCTGCTCCACACTGGTGACCTCTTTCAGGTTCAAATCCCGAGAGCAAGCCCTGAATGACTGAGCCGATAGGAAGCGGCGGCCTGAACACTGGCCCCCCAGGCCAGGCCCCAGCTGAGGGCTCCATGCAGATCCACGCGGAGCGAGGAGGCCGTGAGCGGGTGCTGGGATGGTGTCAGGGTGCATCTTCCCACCTGGTGCCCCTCAGCCACAGCTGGGCTCCGCCCACTGGCCGTCAGTATGCTCAGGGAATATTTCTGACTTTGCTTTCCACATTTAGCAGGCAAGCGGACGCCCACAGCAGCCCCACATACACTGAAAAGCCCTCTCTGTTCCCGGGACATCCGTTACACCCTCACGACGCCCTCAGACACCTGCTCCCACCAGCCCTGGCTCCCGGGCCTCTGCCAGCTCATTTCTGGGGCCTGTGCTGCTATGCGGCCTGCAACACCTGCCTCTCGCACTGCCCCCCAGGCTGTTCCATACACCCATGGTAGAGAGGTCTGGGACCCCAGCCCAAGGGTCAGTGTTTACACCCCACGCGGCCTCTCCCTGGCAAGAAGGGCTCTCGCAGATCTGCGCAGCATTGCCAAGGGGGTGCCGGGAGCCATCCCAGGTCTGTTCTCTCACGCTCTGGGAACCCACCGCCCTCAGGAGGCGTCTGCATTTCTCCCAGAGCAAACATGCTCCAGCTCCCAGGCACTGCCTGTCACCTCGCGGGCGTCTGTGTCCACACCGCAGCGCTCAGCATGAGGGGGCCGGGGACATACCTCTGAGCGCCTCCATGATGGGCTGGACCGTCTCGGACCACTGGTGGGCACCGATGGCCGTGTAGATCCCAGGGAAGTCTCGCTGCCAGATTCTCTGTCCTACCGACCAGATTCCTCCAAGTTCAGAATTTGCCTGCAATGAGTACGACTGCTTTACAGGCTCCCCACTCTGCATAGCTACCGTATCTTCCAACAAAATTCAACATTTCCTTTAAAAGATGCAATTTCTTTGTCAGCCCCACCGCCATGAAAGTGATTTCTAATGCTGTGATGTTAAGACAAAATGCATGTACGTATGTGCCTGAAATAAGACTGTAGCACAGTGGCAAACGAAGGCATGAGGAAGTAATACAAAAATATTTCAGAATTAAATCTCAGAACGAGTTAATTTAAACATCATTTTTAGATGTGTTTTGTACTTCACATATATGTAACATACAGAACACATAATATTCGCAGGTTTCTCCACATAAAATCCATAATTTTTGAGGCAAAGTAGCAAAACTCTCTTGACTGAGAGTTCCTTTTTATTTAAGCCCATGAAGCTGAAAGAACGTTCCAGTGTTACCTAATGGGATCTGGAACAAAGAGAGAGTAAAAACACTAATTTGATGTGCTGCTTAAAAAACTCTAGGTGCATTCTTGGTCATGCTTTTGGGATTGTTTAAAAAATGACCATGTTTTCATTAGGCACATGAATCATTGGAAATTAAAATATACTTCATTCTATTTTAGAAAAAAGTTATTTCATTAATTTTCCATCTAAAATAAGGAGTCTAAAACCCTAATTAGCAAAAATAATTTTAAAGCCATGAAGAATCATAATTTTAAGAATGCTTTTCTAAATATTACTAGTTTCAAATTAAGTATCGTTACAGGAAACTGCATACATCAGTTAAAAGAACAGAAACCAGACACCTAACCAAGCCTTTACCGATCCTGGCTTACTGCGGGCCTGGCGAGGCACAGCTATAAGAAGTGTCTCAAGAAATCTGACCAGTGGGACCTGAGCAGATCTCTCGTCCCAGGGATGTACCTGTACATCAGAGGTACATCCCTGGGATTATTATAATTATTATTTTTCCAATAATAATTTGCAAAGCTATTCTCAAATATTAGTACAGTTTAATAACTCTTTCTGTGAACCACAAGTGGGAAAGAAAACTTTTAAGAGGCTGTCATTTAAGTGAATGTCATTATGACAACAGAGCAATAAAACGCATTGAAAAATACTTACAGACTTTATAGCAGGTGGTATTCTTTTCCAAAGATATCTTGCATTATTCCTAATCATATCCCCCAAGAAAGAACAGTCATTAAAAAAAAAAAAAAAAAACCTCAGTAAATCTTTAAAATTCTAGATTCCAGTCCAAACACACAGAAGTATACTTTACTTTATGTAATACAGTGAGATTTGCTTTCATATGAATTTGCCCAGAGGAAGTCACAGTAGTTTTCCACATACAGAGCTAACTACAACAAACATGATAAGAAGATTATAAGGCAAGAGGTAATTTATGTGACATATAGCTGTGTAATACAAATGTTTTTTTAAAAGATAGGAATTTAAAACAAAATTGAATAGTAGTGACGAACAGTTCACTACAGAGCACTCCTATTCTTTCAGTTATGCTTTCTAACTTTGCTTCAAAGAACATGAATTAGGAATTTTCAAGAAATCTCATGCACATTGGGAGTAAGTTCCTCTGAGCTTTTTCAATTTTCCTTTTCAGCTTCTATCCATCTCCTGATACACAGGCTATTTACACATAAGAAAGTTCTCTAAGGGGCCTCCCTGGTGGCGCAAGGGGTTAAGCACCACACTATGAAGAAATCCGCAGCCTCTGCAGCACGAGTTTGATCCCCGGCCAGGGAGCAACCCACAGGGCGCAGCAGACCTCTCCTGCCACCCGCTGCTCCCCTTAGCAGTGTACTTCGGTCAATCTCCCTGTTCTGCTCCCTGCTCTGTCTCTGGTGAATTCTCTCAAACCACGCATCTCTGGCCTGTACCCCAGCTCTTGTATGCATAAATAAATCTTAAAAAAAAAAGTTCTATAAAAGGACAACAAAGTGGGCCTCCCCTGGTGCTGCAGTGGTTGAGCGTTGGGCTGCGAAGCTGCCTGCAGCCCCTGCAGCGCCGGTTCGATCCCCGGCCGCCGGCCGCCGGGCGAGGGTCCCACATGGCGCGCAGACCTCTCCTGCCCCCAGCTGCTCCCCTCAGCAGTGTACTTCATCAGTCTGCCTGCTCTGCTCTCCCCTCTGGCTCTGGTGAATTCTCTCACCCTCCCGCGCTTCTGACTGTACCCACTGCTTGTATAAATAAATAAATAAATCTTCAAAAAAAAATTAAAAGGACAAAAAAGATGTCAATGGAAAGGAAGGAAGTTATGGAAACTATAGTTTCTCATAACAAATTGAAAGTTTTTTAGATGGTCCACGTAAAACAGATATATTTATAATAACGCAGCCCAGTCATAACTTGTTATAACTCAACATATGAAACGGGCATATAAAGTATTATAATAAAAGATACAGCTGACTATGTCTCCGGCTTGGTGACGCTAACCCACTGCAAATAACTTGTGCATAACCTCAAGGAAAGCGCAGTACTTACATGTCATTATGGAGCAGATATAAAGCCAGAAGCTGGCCATACACTGGGGGTGTAGCAATACCTCCAGGAGCCTGGAAAACCAAAAACTAGAGATAAACCTCATGTATTTTCATCTTGCTTTTAAAAAAGAGTATTCCATTACGACGGATCTAAAGAGCAAGCAGATGCTACAGTACTATTACAGACACAGAAACAGCGTAAAGGAGAGTGGAGAGCCGAAAAGCTACTAGGCCATTTAGATTTGTCATCAGCCGCGATTTCTCCCCTTTGGCCTCAGGGTCTATACACAAGAGTGTCCCCAGAGCATTCCTTTCTCAGTTCCCAAATTCTTTTTAAACGATATTAGAAGAAACACATATTTTCAAGATCCCTCAAGCACTATAACCCTGCCCACATATCAAGGACTTGTCTAGGTGGGTCAGCGATGACCAGAAGACATTCCCAGCTGAGCAATGGACATTTCCTCCTCGGTCAGCCTGACTCGCTCGGGAGGAGTCCCCAAATGACTTTTCCTGAAACGCTGCTTCTGTCTGTTGTCTCCTTTGCTCCCCTTTTACAGACTCATGGGACAGATGCCTTTAAAGCACCTCCCTAGGATCAAACCCTAATGAGTTTAATAGCGTCACGGTAGCTGTCACTTGGCTCACTGGAAACAAAACGGTCGGCTGACGTGACGACGTTATGCAACTTCTGGATTAATAAAAGGCTACAAAAGGCCACCCCCTCCGTGGCGTGTGTCCATGCGGGGGCCCCCCATGAGGTTCGCATTCCCGAGGGTCCCGGACGGGGGGGCGGCCCGGCCGAGCGGCCAGGGGCAGCGCCACAGCACAGCGGGTGCCAACAGGCGCCGGCTTTGCGGCTCGCAAGGTGAACCCCGGCGAGCGAGCCCGCCAGCGAGTGCGGGCGGCCGAGCCCCGGGCGCCCTCCGGCTCCGCCGCCCCCCGCGCCCGCCCGGCGCCCCGCGGGGCCCAGGCCCGTTGCCCTGGAGACCGGCGCCGCCCGGGCCGGGAGGGGGCCCCGCGGCTGGCCCAGCGCCGCGCGGGCCGCTACCTCGAGCTCCTGGTTCTCGCACTGATCCAGCAGCTTCTTGAAACTAAAGGCACTTTCCGCCATCACCGCCACTGGCATCTTCCCGGCCGCCGCAGCCGCCGCGCCTTCCCGACAGCCGGACCCCGCGCCGTGCCCCGGGCGTCGCGGGGCGATGACGCAGAGGGCCGTGGCCGCCGAGCGCTGTGCGCAGGCGCGTGGGCGTCCGGGCGCCGCGTCGCTCCCTGTGCGGCCGGGCGGGGCGCCGCCGCTCTGGGCCTCGCTCTCGGTGCTCTGGAGGACCCCCCCCCCCCCCCCCCCCCCCCGGGAGCGCTGCTGCGCCCCTGAGGACGAGCGTCGGGCTCTCCAGTCCTTTGGGGTCAAAAGGCACGCGCGCGCCAAGGCTCACCTGGCATCCGGACCCCTCCACCTGCTACTTCAGCGCCCTCCGAGGCCTGGCCCTCTGCACCCCACACTCCCCGGGAGTCCCAGGGCCATCCTGGCCCCCCTCCTTTGCTCCCCCCGCGCCCCCCGTCTCCCCCCCACCGCCCCCCGCTGCCACTCCCGCCCTCTCCGGGCTCGTGCTCAGCCCCTGCTGCCGAGGTTCTGGGTGGGGAGTTTCTGCTGTTGTTTATAGCTTTGCATCTCGCACTTTCCAAGGTCACCGTGACCGCGGGCGAGGCTGCGGGTGCTCGCGGCTCTGATTCTGAGGAGGCGGCAGAGGCTGGTGCGCGCCAAGTCTTCCTTTGGGGCTCCTTGGTCCCCAGTGGGGTTGAAAGGCGGGCGGACTGCAGGCCGGTTCCCTCAGGGCTGCTATGCAGAGCGGGAAATGAGGCTGGTGGGCCTCAGCCTGTGCAGGTGCCCCCCCTCCAGCCGCTGGCCCCGGGGGTGGGGGGGTGGCAGGGAGGTGGGGATGGAGGGGTTGGGGTTGGGGCGGGAGTCGGGGTGGTGACAGGTAGGGGTGGGGGTGGGAGGGAACATCTCTCCATGTGCTCAGAGACTTCATGTTGCATGCGGCTTACTTCATGCTCCAGTGGACACTGCCAGGGTGTAGACTTAAAGTAAATGGGGCAAAAGGGGATATTTGCGTCCTGACCCAAGGAGTGGGACAGGGCCTGGGCTGAGAGGAGGGAGGAGGGGCTCACTGGGAGGGGACTTAGACAAACATGCTTTATAGTGAGATGTCTTCCCTGCTGTGTAGACCAGTTTCTCCAATAGGTTATTTCTGGTAAAAAATCCTGATTCTGGAAGGACCCCAGCTTTTATCCTTCTGGGTGGCTAAGGGAGGGGTAAGAAGGTTCTCCAGAGCCTGCTGGGCCTTGACTGACCTCGGCTGAAATAATCCACATGTCAAAGTGATACATCTCAGGACGTCTGGGGGAGGCCTGGCCTTGGCCAGATGCTCAGTGTAAGTTGTTCCTGCACTTTTTTTCTTTTTATTCCAAACATTCAGTAAGAGGCAGGCGATGTGGAGGGCTCTGATGCAGGACAGCTGGATTCTTTGCAGATATAGACGAAATGATCATTAAACTCCTAGAAACAAAGAACACAGAACAACCAAAACAATCTTGAAACATGGGTGACTCTTGGAAACACTGTGTTAAGTGCAGTAAACCAGTTGTAAATAATCAAATATTGTATGATTCCATTTATATGAGATATCCAGACTAGGCAAATCCAGAAGTGACTGTCAGGAGGCAGCAGGAGTCGAGGGGAGCGTGTGGGCCTTGGAGGCCCTCGGGGTGGCTGCTGCAGGACCAGCCTGGGCCAGCCCTCCCAGGTGGGTGGCAAGGACTGGGGCTTCTCTTAGCTTGGGAACTAACCTCACAGCACAGGCAGCTGCCCCATGGACTGGGCCGATGGGGTAGGAACAGGGAGGGAGGGAAAGATTAGAGAAGTGGATTGATTCAGATGGGTGGCCCCAGAGGGGTTGGGGCTTGGGGAGTCTGGCTTCACAAAGAACAGGAAGGCAGACCCACACTTACTGCCATGGCCCATTGACTTAGAGAGACTCCCCTGTGGGTGGCACTGCAGGTGGATGCTGCCATTTTGCAAACCAATGCACCGTGCAGCACCAGGCAATCTCCACCTTCCATGCTGTTTTGTGTGTGGGGAGTCACTGGGGAAGCCTTTGCAAAAGAAGAAACTGTAGCTAAAAATGGCAGCGTGAAGGACAATGGCCAAAGGCCCTAACTGACCTCCATGTCCAGAGCTGGACATGCCCATGTCCACGGCTTCCATGTGGCTCAAGGGGGTGCTTCCAGGCTATTAAATTCAGGGTAGTCTTTCTGAAATATGTCGGGAAAACACATGGAAAACAACGTCACATACACCCTGGTTCTCCCGAGTCCTGGACTAGAGTTGGGGATGGTGTCCGAACGGGGAACTGAAAACTGGGGTAGGTTAAGAGGACTAGACTGCGGGTCAAAAACCATTCTAAGATTTCTTTTCATATTATAAAGTTATTTTAATGACACTTTTATCATTAAACAGCTTTATCATTGAGCAGTTTTATATTAAACATTCTTAACAATGCAAACTTCAAAAGCGGGCCTGGCTTTCTTTCCCCACCTTTGCGCCACTGCCTGTGTTCACAGGGGAACAATCAAAGAGACCATTTTTGCAAAACTTCAGAAAGGGCCTGGGGCTGAGGGCAGAGAGCTGTTAGGGACTGGAGGAATAAAGATGCTGCAGAGCTGGCGGCGGAAGGCCGGGCGCTAAATAAAGCGCGGCGGGGACGCACGTGCCGGGGGGCGAGGGGCGGCCGGGGGGCCCCTGCAGGCCTCAGGCGGGCCGTGGCCAGTCTGCAAACAACAGACTCCGCCGTGCACCGGGACCAGGGCTGGGCCGGGGTGTCCCAGGGACCTGGGCCGGCGAGCCCCACTGAGCTCCCCCCCCGTCCCTCTGAGCCCCCTGAGCCCTCTGAGCCCCGAGTCCCCCTGAGCCCCTCTGTGCCCCGAGAGCCTGGTGGCCACCGGGCTGCCCCGGGGCTGACCTGGACGGGGCCCTGCGCCCCGGGACACAGCCTGGTGGTGTAGCAGCTCCCAGCGCACAGCGGGGCGACTTTCTTGGCACCGGGGGCCGCGGGACAAGAGCGCCCAAGGGCCCCGGGGGCTCCCTGAGGCCTCCGCGCCCAGCGGGAGTGGGAGCTGGGCGGGAGTGGGGGGCGGGGGGAGGCGGGCTCGGGGGTGGGATGGGTGCTGCACCCCGGCTGGCCCACCAGGGGGGCGCCGTCTGCCCCCGCGGGCTACTCTCCGGTGGCCTTTTGGGCCCAGGGCGGTTCATTCCTCCCCCAAGTGGCAAACCAGGTCGCTGAGCCCCCGGGGAGTCCATCTCCTCGAGCCCTTGTCTCCGCCTGTCCCAGTTCCCCCTCTTGGCTCATCCTAATGTTACGTGGCTGGGAGAGGGGGCCCCCAGGTCCCCCAGACCTGCCTGCTCTAAATAGGCTCTGCCATCCGCCGTGTCAGCACAAAACATAGGAGACTTTAATGAAAAGGAACTTGAACACAACTAGGAAACAACACAGGGAAGGCAAAGAACATAGTTTCTCAATCAAGCACCCAAAGTGACCCGTCCCCTCGTGGGTAAAAACCCTCCCAAGGAGGACTGGCCCAGAGCGAGGCCCCAAAGCTGCCCCAAGTCTAAAGCACCTTCCAGTGGGACCCACAGAAAAGGGTCAGAAACAACCAGACAAGTCTGGGAGGAAAAGAGCAAAATCAAAATCAAGACAAAACCCGCCATAGTCCCCTCCCCACGGGTCTCACCCACATCTGTGCCACCCCGTCCACGACCTCAAGGCAAGCACAGCTTCTTCATGTGTCTCTCGGCTCCACGTGCCTCCCCCAAGGCTCCTTCTGGCTCCATCCTGCTCCTTCCTTCCTCAGTCTCCTCTGCAGCTTCTTCTCTCCCTGCTCAGCTCCACCCTCCCTTGGGTGGGCCAGGGAACCTGGAACCTCCCCCTTTCCTGGGGACCCCCCCTTTTACACTAAGTTGGAGCCCAGGAGACACTGGGGGGTGAGGACCCCAGCCCAGGTCTCCCCAGCTGCAGCAAAGACAGGGTCCCGGGACAGGAAGCTGGTGAGGCCTCGGGGAGTCTGCACTGGCGGGGAAGGTCAGCAGAGCACAGCCCCCTGCCCCTGCCCCTGGAGCTTTGGGAGGACAGTCTTGTTCGTTCCAGATTGGGGCACCTGCTCAGGGGAGTGTGAGCCCCTGGGGGTTTAGTGCCGGGCCCGGGGGCTGAAGTGGGGGGCAGCGGAGTGAGTGCGAGGCTGTGACAGTGTCACTGTGTCACGTCCTGGAGGCCTCCACAGAGTCTGACGGCTGGTTTGTGGACGGCGTTGATCTGACCTTGGGAGATGGTGCCTCAAGCTCCTGCGCAGTCTCCCCGCTCTGCAGCCACCCCAGGGCACAGAGGGGCTCGTAGCTTCCCAGGGTCGCACAGCCAGTGAGTGTCAGGGATGTGAGCTTGGGCCTCTTGCCTCCTGCCCATGTTCTCAGCAGCATCACCCAGAGATTGAGGGGACCCTGCACCCCAGTGGGTGCCTGTTCCAGCTGTGTCCAGAGCCCCTGGGGCTCCTTGGATGGGTGCCGATGGCCTCGTGTCCAGGCCGTGACTGAATTCCTGAGGTGCTGTGTAAACACAGGGCCTGACAGATACTCCCTTCAACTCCAAGCTGAGTCCACACCCAGGTCCGCTCTGCCTGCTGCCCGCTGCAGGTCCTGCACCCCCTACCCACCATGGGGGGCTTTCCCTTCCTGCAGCTGCACCCACATCCAGGATCCACCGTGCACGGGCTCTGCTGTAAGGGCAGGGCTGCGGTGGCAGACACTGGTCACGGGGACTAATTCCTCCAGTTCTTTGGGGCCCGTGGCCTGGAATTCACTGGCGCGTTTCTCTCCGCGGCTGCACAACACAGGTCCCCATGCTCTGCAGGTCAGTGCAGACAGCCGTGGCCTCACTCCATTCGTGGGTCCAGAGTCCAGGCCCCTCTTTGCTGGGTCTTCCCCGGGGTCCCTCACAGGCAGGCAGGCGTTGCCTGATCCCTCCCAGGCTCCTCATGAGGCCATTCATAAGCAGCGCACAGCAGTCAGCCGCTTCCTTCAGAGCTGTCTGGTGTTCTTTGGGGACAAGCCAGCAGTTCCCTCCCACACTTCAGA